CCTTTCAGCATCCTCTTAAGACCATCAATTCTTTTTTCCCACATTGTTGGATCAAAATGAACCTGTACAAGTTAATAAATAAAAAATGTATTATTTTATTTAAAAGATTAAATAATACTAAATTACACAAAATACCTCGCAGAGATATGAAGCATTGGTTGGGATCCAATTTTGTCGTCCGACATTTGCTGCCCATTTTGCTCTTTGTTCGGGATTACGGGGAAAGACTTTCATAATATATTCTGTTTTGGAAGAATTGTTACAATTTGATGCACAACAACCAGTCATTTTAAATAATTTTATGAAACTACGTTAATAATATTCTGTCATGTAGGTATTTAGATGCACTTTTTTGGAGGTTATATTCGGTTAAGAAACTTATGTGCCTTTGACCCAATCTTTAGGGTTCATGTGTTGTCTATAGGTTAATATACGCATGTCATACACGGCCAACACGGCTAATATAATAGTGTGATAATGTTCGCTATTTCCGGTTTTTGCTGAAAAATGGCGTCGCCGACCTAACTTTCTTGCGCATTTCGCGACTCTGATTAGAGGGTCTCTAATGCATGTGATGGCCGCGACCGTCGCCTGTCGGCTCCCGATGACGCTTTGCATGGCTAGCTTTTGTAGTGTCACTGCTTTGCTTCGTTGCTGTGTATTTTAATTGCAGTGCTGTGGGCCGGTGGCGGTTGGTCAGCCGCCCCTCCGCTCGTCGGAGAAGTGTTGCTGGCCTTGCGGGGCGCCTGATGGGCGTTTGGAACCCGCGGTCTCCCCCTCGCTTATTATAGCTAGTGCGGATGTCCTTGGGGTCTGGCGCTTTTTTAACTCTCGCCTGCACGCGTCCTGTGCCCGCTGCTTCCGGCTGGTTTCTCCTTCAGGTGCTGTGTGGGTGTGGATAGCGGGAGCTTCCCGCCTGTCCATGACAGTTTGTGCGAAGCAGAGGTAGGAGTTGTCGTTGTACTGTCCTGTTCCGAGAAAAAGAAGGATTACGTGTCGTGTGCGAGATGATGACTCGCGTTGCTAAGCGCTATTCGTAAATGATATTATATTCTTTTCGTATCGAGGTGATGATTATCAGTCGAAATTACTTTTGCGTTATATCTGTATTGTTTTTCTCAATGAGACTCTGTGAGTGAGCGCGAGGGTGCTCTGGCGCCTATGTGCTGCATACGCGTGCAGTGACTTGACCGTGTCCCGTGATGTCCTTTGGTGAAAATACTTTGAGTTGTTTGAATTGAGCTCGGAGATTAACTATAGAATTAGAACGAGGGTCATTAAGTGATTTTTGCTTTGCCGTTTTGCGTGATGCTGCGGACGCCGTTTTGACAGCGGGATTGAATATCACGGGGAGTGCCGTGCCTGGCCGCTCTGTAGCGCGACGGATGTTGCGGCTGCTGTAGTACCGGAGCAGAATCATTAGCGAATTGGCTCTCGCCCCTGCCTATTATTGACAGGTCATATTGAATCGTGTTTCTGGGCGACGCAGTGGCGCGGTGACGTTGGAGTGTGAGGCCTTTTCCTTGCAGTTATCGGCCGGTAGACTGAGACATCTGCCGGGGCCCGTAAAAGCGGCCCCTTTACCTTTAGAAATACACCAGCCTTTTCTATTGCTCGTTCTGCATAAGAATTACAGGCGCTGAAGACGGAGCACTGCGGAGAGTGAGGGAGAGGTAAGAGCCGGCCCTCCTCTTCCGGCAGCCACGTGGGAGTAGCTGCCGCCGTAAAGGTTTGGAGTAATGGACTGTGTGTCGGCATTGTCATTCATGCGTGGAGCGATGCACGTGGTTTGAACTTGTTAGCGAGTTTTCTTAGTGCGGGAAAGTGTAGTATTGATGTACTTACGATACTTAACCTATGTAGTGATATTACATATTCTGTCAAGCTGAAATTGGAACATAAAGTGCTGCACTTCTATAATGCAGCACAGTGTATAGCCGCGTGCCTTTAATGCATGAACGCTGTTAATATCAGATTGGAACCGAGTTTGATTTACAGTAATTTGCCACGTGCTCGAAACCATAAATTACTTTGCGCAGATGGCATGATACAGCGATATCATATTATATTGTAGTAATTATGCTACATAAATGTGTTACTATTGCTCGCGTAATGTTTAACCTATAAGGAACACATATATATATATATATATATATATATATTGTGTCAAACTGAGATCGGAGGTACAAAGTGTTACACTTTCTCAGTGTAGTGCTTGCGCGTGTCGAGTGCTCTTATGGCACGAACGTGGTAGTCACTAGATGAGACCCGCGTTGAGTTTATTAAATTTCGCCACGTGCTTACTGGCATGAGTATTAGTACGGCTTAGATAGTTTAGATTCAGTTAACATATATTATGCTATAACGATATATATAAAAATATAAAAACGAATTGGGGATTCTCTGAGACATTCATATATACATTGGGAAGATATATCTTCTGCACGCAAAAATCTCTTATGAGTAAAGTAGATTAATACATAGACTTATTGACTTTGTGATACTCTTTTTGGTAACCGATGTCGGTGAACGCGGTCTGTTCGTGTTTGAGCGCGGGCATTATAGAGACATGAAGCGGGACTGACTTTCGCGTTCTGCCAGAAATACAGGGTGTCCCGTAATGACCGGACTAACGCTTAAGGGTAGATTCCTGAGATCATTTTAAGACAAAAGTTCCAATACCAAAATGTTGAGACTATAATAATTTTTGAATTATAAGTGTTTAAAGTTAACTAATCAGGTCGTCTTAAGTTGGCGCGCTCAGGTACAGCACACGCAACTCCTAAAAACAAAAGCTGACTTATCGCTCCTTTTATTAATATCGATATCAGGAGACGCGGTAGCGTCTCCCGCCAAGTATATTTTTTCGTTATTAACAGAGACGCTACAGTGTATCCTTTACTGGACGGATAACGACTCTGTAGGAATAAATTATTATTTCTTATAATTATATGGATAATATCGTCAAATGCCTAATTTTGTGAAAAAATCTATATTTTTCTAATCACAATACTGTAACAGCGATATCCATAAGTGCATTTGATGCATAAACGCATAAAGTGTATGCATTTTTTGCCCGATATTATGTCATTCAGATACGTCGTCGTCGTCGTTGTCGTCGTCGTCGTCGTCGTCGTCGTCGTCGTCGTCGTCGTCGTCGTCGTCGTCTTCTTCTTCGCAAAATTTTTCAATCTTGTCCCCTTTCGTCTATAATTTATAATTTTGCCGTCCTTTGTTGTCGCCGTCTTTTTCTTCGCTAAATTTCGTTAAAATTTCAATGTTGTATGGTCTCTTTGGTCTGCTATATCGTTATCGTCGTCTTCTTCTTCGCAAAATTTCAATCTTGTCCCTTTTTTCAATCTTGTCCCTCGTCTCTCTCCTGACTTTCTCGTTTCTCTCACGACTTTCTCGTCTGTTTCTCTACTCTCTCGTCTCTCTCTCACAACTCTCTTGTGGTTGTCGA